GTTCTCTACGAACTTGGTCGGTGTTGCTGACCTACAGGATGGGGGGGTTGACCAGTACACTCCTGCGAGTCGGAGAGTGACCCACTGTACGTGTGCTCGGACGGGCCGACACTCGGCCACGTTTACCCGTCGGCCGGGGTCGAGCCTGTACACACTGACTACTGAGTCTCCTCCAGTTACTGAGTCTGGTCAGGTAGCTACGTCGAGTCAGATGTTTGCTGCAGCGTCCAAGTCTGGTCCTGAGTCTGCTCCCTACTCGTGTCGTCTCCTGTCCCACCGGACTCTCCTTTGGCACCACCGCCTTGGTCACCCCTCCCTGCCTCGTCTCCGAGGCATGGCCTCCCGTGTTCTTGTCTCTGGTCTCCCCCGATCCCTCCCTCCCCTCCCTCCGGGGCCTGCCCCTACCTACGTTCCCTGCGTCGAGGGGCGGCAGCGCGCCGCCCCCAACTCCTCCGAGTTTCCTCCGACAGAGGCTCCCCTGCAGACTCTTCACATGGACGTGTGGGGCCCCGCCCGCGTCCGTGGCCAGAGTCACGAGCGTTACTTCCTGTTGGTGGTTGACGACTACTCGCGTTACACCACGGTGCTCCCCTTGCGCAGCAAGGGTGACGTCACTGAGGTGTTGATCAACTGGATCCGCGCATTTCGTCTCCAGCTCAGAGAGAGCTTCGGCTCGGACTTTCCTGTTCTGCGTCTGCACTCTGACAGAGGCGGGGAGTTTTTCTCTGCCCGTCTGGGAGCCTTCTGTCGTGCACAGGGCATCCGCCAGACCTTCACGCTTCCGGCCTCTCCACAGCAAAATGGGATTGCTGAGCGCCGCATTGGCATGGTCATGGACGTCGCTCGTACGTCCATGATCCATGCGGCTGCTCCCCATTTTCTGTGGCCGTTTGCGGTTTAGTACGCAGCGCATCAACTCAACCTTCAGCCCCGGGTCTCCTTGCCAGAGACCTCCCCAACCTTGCGGTGGACGGGGAAGGTTGGCGATGCGTCTGCGTTTCGGGTCTGGGGATCTCGGGCGTTTGTCCGCGACTTGTCTGCAGACAAGCTGTCCCCCCGTGCTGTTCCCTGCGTCTTCCTTGGCTTCCCCCCTGACGCGCCTGGTTGGCAGTTTTACCACCCCACCTCGCGCCGTGTTCTGTCCTCCCAGGAAGTCATCTTTGACGAGTCGGTGCCTTACTACCGTCTCTTCCCCTACCGCACTGCGCCCCTCCCCCCGCCGCCGCTCTTCCTTGCGCCAAGTCCTCCCCCGGTAGACCCTCTCCCCTCTCAGGGTCCTGCCCCGTCAGGTGTGTCCCAGGTAGACGCAGTCGAGCCTGTCGAGGTAGCTGTTGACTCTGGTGCTACTAGGGGCGCTGAGGCTGCGGGTGCTGAGTCTAGGGGTGCTGAGCCTGGGGGTGCTGAGTCTGGGGGTGCTCAGCTTGGGGGTACGGAGCTTGGGGGTGCGGAGCCTAGGGGTGCTGGGTCTGCTCGTGTGGCCTCTCGCGGTGCTTCGTCAAGGCGAGAGCTACTCTCTTCGCAGGAGCTGCGCGAGTGGTTTGCCCGGCGCTGGAGCCGTGCTGCTGGATCTAGAGGTACTACTGTTGCTGCTGTACCTGGAGGTGCTCGTACTAGTGGTACTGGAGCTGCTGGGACTGGGGGTGCTGCTGGGGCTGCTGAAGTTAGTCCTGCAGAAGGTACTGCTGGAGCTACTGGCGATACTGGAGCTGACGGTCCTGATGGAGTTGGTGCTGCTAGAGCTGCTGGAGCTGGAGCTGCTGGGGGTGTTGGTGCTGGTGGAGCTTCTGGCGCTGGTGCTTCTGAGGGTGCTGGAGTTGGCGCTGTTGGAGCTGGAGGTGCTGCTGGCGCTGGTGCTGCCGCTGGGGGTACTAGTGCTGTCCCTGCTGGTTCTGAAGGCGCTGCGAGGCCGCGGCCGTACTTCGTTCCGCTCCTTGAGCAGGTTCTTGGTCTCCCGCCCTCTACTGGTCCTGCCCCTCCCCTAAAGTGTCCACAGCCTGTCCAGTCGCGGTCACAGTTACAGCCCGCCTCCCCCCTACCTGCTCCTTCTCCCTACACTGGTCCTACTGGAGGTCTTGCTGAGCGTCGTGAGCCTGCGTCTCGTCCAGCGTCGCCTCTTCGTGCTGCTCGCACGAGTAGTCGTGCTCCGCGTCCACGTCCTCCTGCGGTCCCAGGCACACACCAGATGGCACTGCGTCCTTCCACTGCTCCTCTACGTGTCCCGTTGCCGTCTCCTCCAGAGTCCTCTTTTCCTATTCTTGCTAACCCGGCGTCTGACTCTCTTCGTGCTGCTAGTCCTACTGTCACGCGTCTCCTGGCCACTATTGTCACTGACCCTTCCTTTAAGTCCACTGCTGCATCTGCCTTAGTAGCTGAGCTTGTCGACTTCGCTGCTCGCTGTCGTCTAGACTACGCCACTAGTCTCGTTGCTGAGTCTGAGTCTGTCTGTCCTCCGTCCGTCGGGGGTGGGTGTGCTCTTAGCACGGACGTCCTTGAGGACAGGCAGGAGGAGTTCCAGTGTTTTGCTGCTGCTTTGCCTCATCTCGTGTCCACGCTGATTGCCCCTGAGGGAGACCCGGATGCACCAGACATCCCGACTCCTCGATCGTACGCTGAGGCGATCGAGGGTCCCTACTCCTCTCAGTGGCAGTCAGCCATGGATGTAGAGATGGCTTCCTGGAAGTCCACAGGCACCTACGTCGACGAGGTTCCCCCACCTGGGGCGAACATCGTCAGTGGCATGTGGATTTTCAGGGTGAAGCGGCTGCCGGGTTCTCCGCCTGTCTTCAAGGCGCGTTACGTGGCTCGTGGCTTCAGTCAGCGGCAGGGAGTTGACTACTTTCATACCTTCTCTCCCACCCCGAAGATGACCACTCTTCGGGTGCTGGTGCACATAGCCGCTCAGCGCGACTACGAGCTTCACTCTCTTGACTTCAGCACAGCTTTCCTGCAGGGCAGCCTGCACGAGGAGATCTGGCTGCGCCGCCCACCTGGCTTCACTGGGTCGTTTCCTCCTGGTACCCAGTGGAGCCTCCGGCGGCCAGTCTACGGTCTCCGCCAGGCGCCCCGTGAGTGGCACGACACACTGAGGACTACACTTGCGGCTCTTGGGTTTGCTCCTTCTACTGCCGACCCGTCGTTGTTTCTGCGCACCGACACCTCTTTGCCGCCATTCTACATCCTCGTGTACATCGACGACTTGGTCTTTGCCACTGCTGACACTGCTGGACTCGCCTACGTGAAGTCCGAGCTACAAAAGAGACACACGTGCACAGACCTGGGTGAACTGCGCAGCTACCTTGGCTTGCAGATCACCCGGAACAGAGCACAGTGCACTATTACCCTGACTCAGTCACACATGGTGCAGCAGGTCCTTCAGCGCTTCGACTTCACGTACTCCTCGCCTCAGGCCACTCCTCTGTCTACTCGCCACTCGCTCTCAGCTCTGCCTTCGGATGAGTCCGTAGAGCCGAGTGGCCCGTACCCAGAGCTTGTTGGCTGCCTCATGTACCTGATGACCTGCACACGACCTGACCTTGCATACCCTCTTAGCATCTTGGCACGCTATGTTGCTCCTAGGAGACACCGACCAGAGCACATGGCTGCAGCGAAGAGGGTGTTGCGCTACTTGTGCAGTACGTCGGGCATGGGGCTAGTGCTTGGAGGGCAACGTCGAGTGGTCCTCACAGGTCACGCAGACGCTTCTTGGGCTAACGACCAGGCTACGCAGCGGTCGTCACAGGGGTCTACCCGCTTACACCTTCAGCCTTGGTTCCGGCTCTGTTTCATGGCGGTCTACCCGCTTGTCTTCTGTTCTCGGCTCCAGCTGTGAGGCTGAGATCTACGCAGGGGCCATGGCTGCACAGGAGCTACGCTAGCTCACCTACCTGCTGACTGACCTAAGAGAGCCGCACGTTCTCCTCCAGTTCTGTACGTAGACAACAAGGCCATGCTGGCCTTGTGTCGGGAGCACAGAACGAAGCACATTGCTCTTCGCTACTTCCTTGCTCGTGAGCTGCAATAGTGTGGTCAGCTGCGCCTTGCTTACGTGGCCTCTGAGGCCAACACTGCTGATATCTTTACCAAGGCACTCCCGCCTTGTGATCATCAGCGCTTCTATACGATGCTAGGTTTTTTGCCTACTTGGCCTCACTTGCTCACTTCTTGACCTTGCTTGTATTGTGATCTTTCTATACCTGCACTTGCTTGTTTACCTTTATATGTGTGATCTTGCATGTAAACTGGTCAGAGGTGAAGCTGTGAGAGAAGAGGTCGCATGTCCAATGCTCGCATTGGGAAATTAGCGGAGTGGACTACTTGCTTGTGCCATTTGGCGCAACATCCACCATATCCTCGCTACGAAAGACTCGGTATCAGTGTTACAGGATTAAAACACTGATGAAAGTCACAGGAAACAATCTATAGCTCGGAATTCATAAGGGTACAAAAAATCAAACTCTTTATGAGTCAGGGTAAGAAATCTGGGAGCCTGACTGGGTCAGGGTAACCCCAAAAAAAGCGGCCACCAGTCAGGGCAATCAGGGTATTTTACCCTGACATTTTGGGGCCTAGCGACAGCCAATCACATGTGCTCACAGTGCACATTGTCTTGCTTGGAACAATCCTCTATCGGCCCATTTCCGGCAGTACACTTTCAAGATGAGACAGGGTTGATTATTTTATATTTCGGTTTTAAATATGGATTGTATAATGTTGACAGTTCAAAACATAACTCTGTTGAGATGCGCCTCTTATTGAACCTTGGGGGCATGCACCTGAGGAGCACACACTCTAGTTGCTGGAGTGCTTGTATGGTACGGTAGAAGCCACTTGAGAGCACATCAGGCTTCCGCTCCACCTGACAGCACTCGGGCATGCTCCACCTTTATTACTCTTTATTGGAAAGAATATATGCACAGCACAGCAGACTCGCATTCCATCCATGTACACCAATGCGGCCACTGCGCAGTTCCATTCAGCTTCTGGGCCACCCACACACTTGTTCAAACGCCATCCGCTATGCCGCCGCCTCCTCCTCCCACCTTCTCTTCTATGAGAATTCTCAGAAACCAGCTTGCTCCACTGACCAATTCCAGTCAGCTTGTGGGCGACCCACACACTTCTTCAAGCCAAGTTTGCAGTGCCGCCTCCTCCTCCTCCCACCTCCTAGCCTCGCCACTTGTGCGCACCGGCTGCAGCTTCCGCCTCTCCGCCTCCAGAAACATCTGCGTCCTCTCTTTCTCCCTCTCCCGCTCGCATTCCCTCACTCGCTCCCACTCCCGCTTGCAGTCCCTCGTTTTCTCCCTCTCCCGCTCCCACACCCGCGACGCATCCTTCCCATGCTCCCACCCAAGAATGCGCTCCTGACACTGTCCCCTCGCCGCTGCAGCTGCTGCTGACCGCAGTGATGCCACTGTCCCAGCTGGACTTGTGTTGCTTCTCCTATAACTACTGCTGCTAATGCTGCTGCTGTGTACCATGGGTGGGTGGTTGAGTGCGGGAGGGGGAATGCACACAGGTGACACAGCCGCAGGTGTGAAGGCAGGCGACAAAGCTGCTGGGGTGCACGCAGGGGTCCAGAAGGGCGTGCAGAGGGAGGGGGTGGTATGAGAGGGGGTGGAGGTGGAGGGAGAGGAGGAGGACGGGGAGATGAGAGGCGGGATGGAGGAGGGAGAGGGGAGGTGGGAACCTGACGCGGATGGTGACTTGAGGGGTTGTGAGAGAGTAGGGGACGGGAGTGTGCAGGAGAGGGACTGCTGCTGTTGGTGTTGCTTCTGCTGGTACTGCTGGTGGTGCTGCTGTTGCTGAGACGAGGTAGGTCTGAAGAGCGGGATGCAGAAAGCTGAATTGCGATAGCTGCGATGACTTGATGTTGACAAAGGCTGCACAACAGCTTGCTGCTGCTGCTGCTCGTGCTGCTGAGCATTCACGAGTCTATGCCACTGCTGTTGATGCTGCCACTGCTGCTGATCCTGATGCTCATTCTCCCGCCCCTTCCCGCCCACCCATCTAACACTCGCTCCTTCCTCCACATGCCCCACCGCCCACTCCCTCCCATAGCCACTCCTCTCTTCCCCGTCCTCCCCTGCATGCTCACAGCAGTCCCACGGGTGGCTGCCTGCTGGGCGTAGCTGTGAGATGAAGTGGCAGAGAGCAGGGAGGAGCGTGTGCGGTCGCTCCTCTGTCACCAGCGACCCACACGCCTCCACCTCCACCCACACCACGCTCCTGCTGCTGCTGCCTCCTTCACCTTTGCAGATGCTTCTGCTGTCCCGGTCACTTTTGCAGCTGCTGCTGCTGCCCCCCTCACTTGCACGCCTTCTGCTCTCCTCCTCACTCTCCCTCCCACACTCACTCACACTCCGTTCCTCCCATTCCCGTTGCTCCATCCCTGTCCGCGACTCCTCCCTGCCTCCATCCCACTCCCCGGCCACAGCAAACGGGGCAGAACCTTCACTTCCCATCTGCCCTCGTCCGCACTCCCCCTCACACATCCTCCCTCCTCCCACACTGTAGCACTCAGCCATTGCCGCCAGTCCATCCCTGCACCTTCTGTACCTCATATCCCTTCCACCCTCCTCTCCCCCATCTTCCACCCCCCTTTCCTCCTCAGATAGAAAGTCGGAGTTTGAGTGAGAGGGCGAGGGAGAGGAAGAGGAGGCGGGAGAAGGAGATGGAGATGCAGTAGGGGAGGAGCAAGGAGGGGCGCCAGGAGCAAGAAGAGGAACCTTGGAGTGCAGGTGGTGGAAGGCGGTGCGAGCCAGGGGGTTGAAGGGGGACGAGTCACCCACACCCACCAGCACTGGCACCTGCAGTGCCGCCAGCCCAGGCAGCAGGTTCCTGCGCCTGGTGGGAACGAGGGATAAGATGCAGGAGGAAAAGGGAAATGGGCGGTGACAGGAGGGCGGAGGAAAGGCGCTGGCGGATGAGAGAGGGAAAACGGCTGTGCACGCTTCAATATGCAGAGAAAGAGAGTGAGACGAGGCGAGAGTGGAAGGGGAAAAGTGGAAATGCATCTGCACTCAACCCAATTATGAAAAAAGGCATGCACAGGCATAAGCTTCGATGTACCTGTGAATGGCGTAGAAGTAACGCATTAGATTCTCAGGCTCGTGATAGTCCAGCTCCTGAACGGGCAAGAGGAAACACGCAGATTATATGGCGGGGGAGGGGGAAAGGAAGGGATAGTGAAGATACAGTGAGAGCACGGGGACAGCACATACAGCCCACTGCAGATGAGACCACAAGCTTTTACATGTGCACATGCACATGCACATGCACATGCACATGCACCTGCACCTGCACATGCACATGCACATGCACATGCACATGCACATGCACATGCACATGCACTGACGGTGGCTTCCCAAACTAAAGCAACCCGAAGAGACTTCATACCAAGCTCCCTGCACTGCCCACCCTTGAGACAAGTCTCCCTGACTGCAGATTCACCCGACAGAAAGTACAATCCCAGCAGACTCACTCACCCTGCGGAAGGACAGGAGCGCATCTGAGGCCGGCCCGTGGAAGCCTGCCGTGGCCTGCATGGCACCCACATGTGAGCGAGTGTGGCGAGGGGCGGGTGGGGGGAGGGAGAGAGGAGGAGGGGGAGGACGGCGAGAGACAAGGAGGTGAGGGTTATGAGCATGAAAAGGGCGGTGGGGTAAGAACCATGTCGCAGGACGTGAGGCGGGAGAAGGGGTACAAGGTTCGAGTGTGGGCGGGAAGAAGGGAGGGGGGACGGGGCAGGAAGCCATCAAGGCGGAATGGAAACGAGCAGGCGGGGCGAGGGGGAAAGGCCAGGGGCGAGGGGCGAGTGGCTAGTGGCGAGAAGTGAGAGACACGAAGTGAGAGACACGAAGTGAGAGACACGAAGTGAGAGACACGAAGTGAGAGACACGAAGTGAGAGACACGAAGTGAGAGACACGAAGTGAGAGACACGAAGTGAGAGACACGAAGTGAGAGACACGAAGTGAGAGACACGAAGTGAGAGACACGAAGTGAGAGGCACGAAGTGAGAGGCACGAAGTGAGAGGCACGAAGTGAGAGGCACGAAGTGAGAGGCACGAAGTGAGAGACACGAAGTGAGAGACACGAAGTGAGAGACACGAAGTGAGAGACACGAAGTGAGAGACACGAAGTGAGAGACACGAAGTGAGAGACACGAAGTGAGAGACACGAAGTGAGAGACACGAAGTGAGAGACACGAAGTGAGAGGCACGAAGTGAGAGGCACGAAGTGAGAGACACGAAGTGAGAGGCACGAAGTGAGAGGCACGAAGTGAGAGACACGAAGTGAGAGGCACGTACTGGGCAGAAGTATCGATCCAAGAGCGAGTCCTTGATGTATGACGTCATGCCGTAATAGGATAGCACGCTCATGGTCACCTGCTCCCATGGTGATGCGCATGACCATTAGCACCACGGTTGGAAACGAACAGGACAAAGGAAAAGATACACACGAGGTCGGAAAATCTTGAGGCAGGAATTTCGGAAATTGGTGCAGCACTCACACACACTGATGCGCACCAAGATTGCATACTAAACTACTTTATAACAGGAATCCGTACGCCATCTTGTGTGCCCCACTGTTCCGTTTATCTCACACCCCATTGCGCACATGATTGCACGCTGCATGCTGCACGTCAAGTGTCTCACTGCACGCCACGGCTCACCCTGTTGTGCACGCAGCGCCTCACCTTGTTGTGCGCCCACTCGGACCACGAGGGCGGCGAGAGCAGAGGAGACACGAGAATGAGCCCGCGCACCAGATGGCGGTGGGATAGCTGCGGGCGCGGTGGCAGTGGTTGGATCGGTGGGAAGACGGAAGGATGAGGGGAGGAAAGGGACACATGGCACGAGGAAAATGTATTGCACCAGTCTAGGGTGCGATGGCTGAGGGTGGTGGGAGTGGAGGGACAAGGTGAGGAGACGAAGGGGACGGGCGGACGGACGGACAGACAGAGACAGGCAGGCAGGCAGGCAGGCAGACGGGCGCACAGGCAGGCAGGCAGGCAGGCAGACGGGCGCACAGGCAGGCAGGCAGGAAGGCGAGCAGCGAGGGAGGCAGGGAAGCGTGCAGCTAGGGCGTACAGCGAAGAGCGTGAGGACGTAGGCGCCCGCGGTGACGCCCATGAGCGTGACGTCAGCGAGCGCGAAGTGGCGCGCCACCTCCGCCACCTGCTCTGCAAGATCGTCCGCGCACAGCAGCGGCTGTGATGAGGGGATCTCCTCCGCGTCCTCCTGCTCGCGGCACATGGGAAGGGGGGGAAGTGAATGGAGGGGGGGGACAGAGTGGGGGGTTGGGTTCGGTCCGGGTACACAATGAGGCGCCACTTCCGCCACCTGCTCTGCCAGATCGCCCGCGGAGTGCAGCGGGCGCGACAGGGGGGTCTCCTCCGCGTCCTCCTGCGCGCGGCGCACAGGAAGAAAGAGGGACAGTGCATGGGGACAGGGAGAGCGGTTTTCGACGCAACTCTTCATACGAGCGTTGTTTGCCCCGACCTCAGAAACAGCCTCTGCAAGACGATTTTCGAGACATGTCAAAAACCGTTTCCCCGTCGTAAAAAACGGCCTCTGCGGAACGATTTTCGAGACGTGCCGAAAATAGTTTCCCTCGTCCTCAAAAGCAACCTCTGCGGAAAACTGACGGCTCCCTTGAAGACACCCCAGGACGGGCGCGCTTACCTCGTGCCCCGGCGCGTCGACGTGGAATATGCAGAAGTTTCGTAGAAGCAGCACGGAAGTGTCCGCGCAGAGCATGAGCCCTTGAAAGCACGTGGAGTCTGACGCGCGGAGGGTGGGCGGGATGGGATCGCGTGGAGGGGAGAGTGAGAGGGGTATCAAGCAGCGCGGAGATGTCCGCGCAGAGCGTGAGGCCTTGAAAGCACGTGGAATTCGACAAGCGGAGGGTGGGATGGGGGGGAGCGGGGAGGGGAGAGTGAGATGAGGGGTATCCGGGAGGCCTTGGAAAACACGCGAAATCTGGCGCGCGGAAGGGGGCAGCAAGGAGGGAGGGAGGCGCTCACTATTGCGTCGTCAGAGGTTATCAGAGAGACTTACGATTGAGCCCGACGTCGTGATAGGTGATAAGAGGCGGGTTGCCGCGATTGCCGCACACCGTCACCTGCACGACGCCCGTTGCCGTCTGAACTCGTTCGACCTGACAGCGAGGGGGATTGGGATGGGACGAGAGCACGGAAGAAATGGAGAGAGCGGAGAACAGGGGAAACGGAGTGGCAGGAGACGGGTCAGTGCGACAGCTGGCGCGAAACGGGTAGGGAATGGGTCGGCTTTTGAGTCGACTCAAAAGCAATGGGTCGCAGGATCTCCGCTCCGAGTCGCTTGCACGAACTGAACACGTCGACGTTCCCTCGGGAGAGAGAGGGAGCGGGAAGGCGGGTGGATGAGACGAGAGCAAAGGAATTCGAGCGACATAAGAACGCGGTCTAGTCAGAAGCATGATGGTGTCGGATCCGTTGATCACTCTACGAAGCTTAAGCCAACACGCGGAATATGAAAAACGCCACCGGGGCTGTCTTAAACTTTTACTGAAGCAATGCCACTACGCGACGGACAAGATTCTTCAAAAATCCTGGCAATCAACATATTTCCTAGTCGAAAGCCTCCCAGGGAGTAGAATCTGAAACACGCCTCAGCAACTTGCTGAGTTGTACAAGAGAGCCTTTACGGACGTTCTGCCTTTTGAGGCGCCTCATAAGCCTTAACGCACATGCTGCTCCCAGGGAAGCGACTCGTCGTCGACGTCGACGGCGTAACCGATTTCGTCCTCTTCGTAAACACAATCGTCGACGTGGAATCCGCCGTCGTCGGCTTCCAACAGCAACGCGTTGTTGCTCCAATCCTCCATCCCCGCCTTCTTGGATCGAGAATTACACGAGTATCTTTATAAAATTTAAATACTACTCGGTTTTAATGTCACAACCCTTTGCGCTACTCCTGTTCGAGTGAGCTAAAAGCTAAAGCGTCGAATCTTAGTCACATAAGTAGCGAGGCAACGTTGTCACCATTGTGCTCCATATAATTCAGGTTCAGCTGAGGTGCTGCAATCAATGGCTGGGATGGGAACGATCGAAACCCTTGGGATTGTTGCGGCTGGGCCTTGATTTGGGAACGTCGTTCTGGGTGGGGGGAGGTGAGGTGAGGAGGGGAGGGGGAGGTGAGGGCGGCGGTGAGGGAGGGATGGGATGCGACGGAGTTGCGAGCGAGACGCGTTATGTCAGATGGCGGGGAAGGGAGGGGAAGCGGGAGGCCGAGGCGAGGGGAGGGGTGCGCAAGGGGAGGGGTGCGCACTGCGGTTGGCGGACGAGTCAAGCAGTGGAGGGAGGGAGGGATTTACGTCAGCACCAATAATGGCGGAAGTTCTGCAGGTTTTAGATGGGTGCGGCTTGGTTCTCACTCGAGCTGACGAGACGAGGCTGGGCTGGGCAGAAAGTGCGAAAGTTTCGCGGAGACATGGTATGGGATGGGAAGTACCCAGAGACGGCGTGTCGCCTCGTGACTATTGGCTGCCCTTGGGTTTGGCATCGTCGTTCTCAGCACCAGCCTGCCCTCGTCGCTTTTCCCACACTTCTGGGATGGTGGTAGGGAGTTAGCGTGTACAGTATTGTACAGAAGTGTGGTAATTTCTTAAGACACCAGGACAATGGTAGTTTCTCAAGCCTAGCTTGACTTCAATGGACAGGACAGCTGACTGCTTCCAAAAATCAATTGACTAAGCTTGTCGAGTAGTCAAGGTGGACTCCGTTTTGGAGGAGGACAAGTGAAAACACCTTTTCTTGCAATCTGTCTACAGTTCTCTACCCATCTCCTCTTCCGCTTGTTCCAGCCTGTTTTTCTTAAGTCAGCCTGAGCACCGCAGAGCTGGCCGTACAATGAGTTTGCCTGCATAAAGACAAGAACAGTTGTGTTCTCCAGTCAAGCTATGACCCTCGGGTCAATCTTCACCTGGTACTCCCTAGAAGATGCACTAACCGTGCACTAGCAGATAGCATTCTCATACAATGGTTGAATACATTAACATTAAGTGTGCTGCAAAAATGTTCTTATGTATTAATGGCTTCAAACAACGCGTTCAGGCCTCACAAAATTCGCCTAAATTTCATCCTTCGCACGCTCATAATATTTCCTTACTGGTTTTGTTTGATTTCGCATGAGTCATACAGATGAACATGTCAGAAGAGGCTTCGAAAACGGCGGCAAACAATAACAAATATGCATGTTAGTCTACTGTCACGCATACACTAGAGCAGATACACAACTTTCTCGACATTCCTGTTTGTACCCTCCTTCCTACTAGTCAAGCATTCCGCTAGAAGGAAGCATGGAGGCGGCAGTCGTGTCGGTAGTTGAGGTGGGCAACAGCAGTAGTCACAGCAGGGACTGCAGCAGCGGCGGCAGGTGCCATAGCAGTTTCAGGAGTGGGGTCCTCTGCAGCAGTGGGGTCCTTGCAGCAGTGGGGACCTGGTGGTCTGGGAAGCACTGTTAACAGGAATGGAGTGTTGGCCCCGCCCTCACTTGGGCAACGACGACGACTTGGTCGGATGTACGGTAATAGCAGCCGACCGTTCACAGTGGGAGAGCTGCTCGACAGGCTTTGTCGAGCTGCAGGGGACCGCTGTGGTGTTGCTGTCGACCAGGGAGCTCGACAGCTGCAACTGACTGGTCTAGGCGACGGACGGGACGTCGACCAAGACCTGCGGTTCGACGGGGAGGTCTCCGGAGCATCCCGTCGACCTGCAGTTCGACCGGGAGGTCGACAGAGCAGTTCTGGTCGACGTAAGGGGTCCGTCGACCAGGGGGTAGCTCGACGGAAGTTGTGGTCGACCAAGAGCGCCTGGCGGTCGACCAGAGGGTCCAAGTGGTCGACCGGAGGCACCTGGGGGTCGACCAGAGCACCAGGGGTCGACCAGGTCGACCGGGTAACCTGCTCGACGAGGTATGCGGAGTCACGTGCACGTCGTCGAGATCGCTATGGCGCAGGCGACTTCGGGCTGGTATCCCGAAGTCGATGTGGCTCGTCAGGCGCAGACAACAGCCGACGGATGCCCAACGAGGCAAGTCGGGCCAATCGTCTGCGCGCACCTACGAGCGCGCGCACTGCTGTGCTCTACGGGGCACGCCGTCGACCTGCTTTGTTGGCAGGTCGCCCTTCTGCAGTGCTGGCGTGGCTCCTCTACGCAATGCTGGCAGGCGGTCGATCGAGCTGCGCTGGCGGTCGACCAGGCTAGCTGCAGGGTTGCTAGGTGCCTGATTTAGTCATTGTTGTTATTGCTTCTTCAATGATTCTGGATTCTCAACTTTGCTAGTGAAAACTCTTGTCAATCTCTCCCGTGAATGTGCAAGCACTAAGGAACTAAGCAAAGCTACGATCACTCCTAGTAGTTCGTGCCAACCCCCGTAGCCTAGCTCACTACCGTTGTAGAGTGTATCTCCACATGGTTGGTGAGCGTGGAGGACCGGGGTTCGATTCCTGCTGTTGGCGACTTCTTGTGCCCTAGTAGTGGGCCCTCCCAGTGAGGGGAGTGTTGGAAGTGGACACTGGAATGGCCCGAAGTGGTCTCCCCAAGGGCTACAGGTGTCGTCCTGGGGGGGTATGGGTGCGCTAACCCACCAAGGAAACATGCCCTTTTATCCCAGTCGGTTAGCGGGCTGGAATGCTATCCCTGCATGGTGCGGTGAGCGTGGACGGCCCCGCAGATTACCTTCAGATAGGAGCCGACTTTTGCACCTACTAAGCCGTTCGTAGGCCGGCAGCAGCGTTAGTCGCCATGGTCGACCCCGTAGTTGATGCGGGCGTAGCGGACACGTTGGAGATACGCTTGGCTGATGGGAGGAGACGCCACGCAGATGGCGAGTACGGGACGATCCCCTTGACGATCGTCGAGTTGGGCATCCGGGCGCAGTGGGCGACGGATCACCCTTCCCACCCTGCATCTCCTCGACCGGTGCGAAACGAAGGGGCATCGATGACAAGGTCGACGGCGGTGCTCAAGTCAGCGGCAGCGAAGGCACGAGGCAGATAGGGGTGATCAAGGTCGACGGTGGTGTCGACGGAATCCAGGCGCGAGTGCAGCAGTCGACGTCGGCTGCAGGCAGCTCGCGCGCCGACGTCGATGTTCGACGTCGCTCTCCTCTACGAAGTGGTGGCGGGCTCTCGGCGACGACGCATGTGACGGCGGGCGGGATTGCACCGGCGTATGGCTACTTCAAGTTTTCGCCGGATCGAATCACCGTTGCTCCGCTGCAAGGTCGACGGGACCTCATCACGTGGAGGGAGTCGATCGAACCTCAGCTGGAGGTCGCCGGGCTAAAGGGCTTCGCCGACGGCACCGTGCCAATTCCGCCCGAGGAGGATGTCGGGCTGCGCGAGGAGTTTCGTTCTGCTCACCTGCTCACCTTCATGGTCATCTCGAGGTGCTGCTCGCCGTTGGTGCAGCTGGCGCTCAGGAGCTGTCGAGAGCGAATGGATGCTAGTCACCAGGCACGGCGCTTCATCATGTCGACGTACCAGGTCAGGGACGACCTGTACATCAGGCAGCTGGAAGAGAAGATGACTCACATTCGGATGGGCGAGCAGGAGTCGGCGACGGATTACTGCAACCGTGCTCGACGGATTCTGGCTGAAATACGGATGGCGGGCGCCGAATACTCGACGGCATCCTACATCACCCACATGGTCAAGGGCTTGCCGCGCAGCTACAATCTCATGAAGAGGATGATGATGGTGCCCGGCACGCGTGAGTCCCTCGACGAGGACTCCATCACCAGCTACATTCTTCAAGACGAGGCAATGCAGTAGGCCGAACAAACCACAGAGCTCCTTCCGCAGGCAAACTACGCTGCATCGACGAAGCTGAATCAGCAGCAAGGGCAGCGCGGGAAGCCGGGCGGAGGTGGTAGCGGAGGTGAGCGGTCGACGAAGGACGTCGACGACAAGCGGTCGATGCGAGACAAGGGTCGATGAGGTGGTGGTCGACTGCGGGAGTGCTGGATCTGCGGCGACCCCGACCACCTTTTCTACGAATGCCCCGACCGCGACAACAGCGATGAGGACGACATGAAGGGTGGCCGTGGCCGGTCGACCAGCCGTCGCCCCCGTCGAGAAGCGAAGCCGCGCAAGGAGAGACAAGCGTCGAAGAGGACGTCGTCGACGAAGGACGTCGACAGCTCCGGCGACAAGAGCCGAGGCGACGGGGAGGCGTCGTGCTCGATGGTCGGCGTGGTGGAGACAACGGTCTCGCTGGCGCCGGAGGCTGGCGAGGACTTCCAGGCAGTGGCGGCAGCTGTGCAGGCCAACCCGATGGCGGTGCTGCTCGACAGCCGGTGCTCCCACCACCTGATGGGGACGAAGTCGGTCTTTGTCAACATGGGGCCGAGCGACGGGGTGAAGCATGTGCGTGGGTTCAACGGAGCATTGCAGCCTGTCGAGGGTCGCGGAAC